AAACGTGAATCGGACATTTCCGAGGGCAATGACGATGATGACGTATCAAAATTTCGGACTTCGCATCGCAATATCTTCATCCGTAAGGTATGTAGGCGAAAAAAACAGTTTTATTATATAATTTAAAGTTTTAAGCAAATTGAGAATACTGAATTAATCGATTAATTCAGTCGTTCATTGTGAGATCCGATGATCTCGGGTGCTCGGAACTTACCGATTCGCGTAAAGAACACGGTGCGGTCTCGCTTCGCATTCACTTGGCGCGAGATACTACTGTGTCTCTTGATACTTGGCACGTTGAAGCTATATAAAAATAAAATGTTTTAAGCACCATGTGGCATTCTGTTGGAATCCGATACAGCGCTACTTCATTTCGCGAGGCTGAGTGTGCGATTACTTAATCGAGATCGTTATCCTCCCTTTCACACTTGATGATCCTTCTATCGTACTGTCGAATAGGAAATTATCATTAGTGTCCTTCTCTCGTGCTATTCATTAACATACACTTCATCTTCAGCTTGTTCAATTTATATTCAAATCATATTTAAATGTTATCTAATGTTTTTAAATATTTATTTCAAACTAAATCTTAAATAGTACGATTATAACAATCTGGTAAATTGTAGAAAATGAATTTTTATTAATTTAAAATGGAATTTTCTTCTCGAAAGTTTCATGATTATATTTTTTATATGTAACAAGCGTTATAGACAAGCTATGAATTCGAGAGAATTAGCCGTGTAGATCAATTGCCATTTCGAGAAATAACGTTCATTTTTCGTAGGTCGGAATGTGATAAATGAGTCTTCGTGCTTGAACATGTTGTGGCTTTCGCGGACGATAAAAGTTTGATTTTTCATCGAGGTCAGTGGCAGCCAGTCGATGAGTAGAACCGCATTACTGAAGTGCCAATCACAGGCGTACCGCGGTTGAAGCTTCGGCACTCAAATCGTAAAAATATTTCACTATTTTTAATCTGTGTTATGCTATCAATTCTAACGTAAAAATGGGGATGAGATACAATAGAATTACGTGCTATTAAGTTGTTTTTTAGTATTCGTTTAATGAGAATTTGCGATTAAAACTAGTTACGTTTCATATATTAAATCAGTACTCTCACTTTTTCATATACATATATATATATATATATATATATATAATACTATAGTTTTTCGAATACAATTTTTTCATATACAAAACAACAAAAAAAAGCATACGTATAAGAATAAAATGTCATAAAAATAAAACAAGAAAATCAAAATATTTCAGGAATTCTATTGATTTCAGGATATAGAAAATCAATTTTAGTTACTGAAAATGAATATTTAACTTACCCTGTAAATCAAGATATTGACAAGGATAAAGTATTTTATAAAATCAATATAGAAAATTGATTTTTCTCTCAAAATACTCTCGACATATTGAACGATATTTTTAAAATCTAAAAAACCGAATTTGGCGTTTGTTCTTTGTTGTCAAAAATTTCCTGATTACCACCTGTTAAAATTAACGAGAATGAATTTCCATACGAGAATAAAATTGAGATAGAGAAATATGTTATCGATATCACAAAGCCAACTAACGCACTTATACTTTATGACATATAAACAAAAAATAAAATTGGCATCACTTTTTGGAATATAAAAAATATTTTCTGTAAAATGTATATTTTGTACCTGTTAGAAAAATATTTTAAAAAAATGAATATTTCTTTTATCAAGGTTATGCCAATTGATTTCAATTCTCGATCGAATACATACCAGCATGTGTTTAAATCAAATATTGAAATGCTGTGGCTGGCATCAGGAAATTTCAAACGATCTAAGGTTAAAAATACACGTTGCAATATCCGACTAGATGGAGTTTCTCCCTCAGATTTTCGTTCAGTTGAACGAACATCGAATGTACACGTAGCAATCCATCGGGTTGCTCCGATACGGACCCGATATTATCCCGTCAGGAACCAATTCTTTCGCCGTGACTTCGAAAAACTCTCTTGCCTGGGTTCTTATTAATTCCACGAAATCTGGAACACTCGACGTGGGTCCGGCGAGACATTAATTATGGAGTATCGTGGCGTTCGAGTCTCACAAAGGGAAAACGTATCAGGAAGGAAAAAGACCGAAAAATTTCTCACGCGACGCCAAGGCATAATCGATCGACACAGTGGAGGGATATCGAGAGAGGGAGAGAAACTCGGTGTTACAGCCGCGCGTTCTTTCTCGTCGATATTTAACGATCCCGCGAGGAATCGAAGGTACGGGCCGTAGATATCACTCGCAGTTCCATAGAATCCATCCACTTCAAGTACGCCGCGCCGTGTTATTGACCCCGAGACAAAGTGCGACGAAGTCACGGACGGCGTCGACGATATATACTTATAGTACGCGGATGCGCACTTACGATATTGCGTTTAACGTGTTATACGACATTTGCGACAATGCAACAACGGACTTTCTACCCGTCGATAGACCTTACAAAGTCGTTCACATGCCAACGGAATTTCCGAGCTGCAGCAGCTATAACTATTAAAGAGCGTGGTGCGCAAATAGCATGACTGCTCGGAAACGTAAGGACGATCTTGAGAGTGCACCTGACTGTCACTCGACGGCTTTAACGTCCATAAGGATAACGTCGCCTCTCTGAGGACGAATTAATTGACAGCAATGCTTCGAGGAAAATTAATTAGGGCGACTAATTGTCCTCGATTAATTGTCAGATACTCTGGGGAACGAATATTTAATCGGGGATAATGAAATCGCGACCTCTTTACGCTCGAATTTTTTACACTGGCATTAACGGGGCAATAAATTATAATGTAATTACATAAATTTTGCACACTGTGCGGCTTCTTTCTTCCATGGTCGATTGTATAAATAGAAAAATTGCATACGCGATTATAAAACGTTTATCATAATTAATAATTGTTCCATATGTAATGTCATTACATATTTTATTCGCTGAATAATACTGCATATTTAGAAATCAAATTGCGCCTCGAGGAACACTTTTAGTCGTGATGAAGGAAAATATTATACATAATATCTATTCCAGAGCGACTCAACCTTATCTGTAATACTAATGCTACCTATTCGTCAGAGAGCTGTCTTGACTATCATCAATCTGGTCCTTTCCTCAATAATATATCCGGTCGTTAGAAACGAATTTGAGTTTTCAGGACGTGCTGAAAATATGATAACTTACCTGGCAGATATTCTACTCGATTCGTTTCTTGTTTCGTTTATTTTCAATTACCCTTTTGTACAATTTATGTATAACGAACTATATACATACTTATTATGATAATTTAAAGTAAATCGATCGAATCTCTTAGTTAATTGAATAAACTTCTGAGATAATGAATAATCTTGCTGTCGGCATACATTGTATTCCCTAAAGCTAGTTCCATTATTCTTTGACTTGATCGAGAGAGATATTTTCGAGAGAGAGCTACTTCGAATTCTGTGTTGCTTCACGACGATGAAACATCACAACGATACATTTTGGCAAATTGCCTAGGCGGGTGAATTAAATGGTATCGCATAACTGTGTATCGATAGTTCTGTCGATATCGCCGTAAAAACATGGCTTATGAAACAATTCGCAATTCAACGTCGATCTCAACGTGGATTATAAAAAAAATCGTCACGCGTGAGAACGAGAGGATCCTGCTTAATAATAATAGAGCGAATTTGAAATCACTTCGATTTGAATTAATCGGAGAATTAAAAAGTTGGTAAAAAAAAAAAAGACATTATTTTTATCGTATCGATAATGTCATTATTTACTTGTAGTTCGAGTCAATTAACTGGCACAACTTAAATTAAACTTTAAATGAACAAAAGAGAGAATTAAATAGAGAACATAATCGTCTTGGATTACATACACCAATTTTTCGACGGCAATGTAATAAACCTTAAGTGATACGTATATTTTTAGAGTATCATCACATGCATTCGCGCACACACATACACACACGCACACACAGACACGATCGCAGCTTCATTGTAACTTCCTAAAGTACAATTTCAATGTTATTTGTTTATTTCGTTGCTGTTGCCATATAAATTAATTGTTTATCATTTCTCGCGAAAATCTGATTTTACGTGTAATTAGTGTGATGAATAATCACAGTAAATAATTATAATGATTCAAGCCGCGTTTTAATCGTTTCGTAAACGCACTCACACATTCGCGCACCAAGCCGTGTTCCAAGTCGCATCGATCGTATAACTTCATCCGCGTCGCTCAAAGTTACGTTATAGGATGCATTATTCAAACTGATCCTAGAATTCAACAAACTCGTCCGGCAAAAAAAAAAAGGAAAGAATCGTGATGAATAAATGTGAACTGGATCACGGCCTGGTCCATAATTAACAAGGACAAAGAAGTAGCTGCATCGTTATTGCAAGCCACCGCAAGCGCAGGTACATTTGGTAGCGAAAACGTCGAGTTTAATCCTAAAGAGTGAGCTTTAACTGATGCTTACTTGTTAGCTAAAATTATATAAATATTTTTGCTTATTATAGTTTTACATTTTTTAAAATATAACGGATAAAAAGTGTAGAGCTACATTTTTACTGCTTGAGCAGTAAAGATAAATCTATTTTTGCACAACAGAAAATATCCCAAAGCTATCGAACGTCATTTCGGCCACTAATAATAGATGGCGAAGTAAAAAAAGACAGTCATTTGTTTCGATATGACGTGGATGATTTATCGAAATATTTAATCATAACAATTAAGATTTTCAGATAATTGATCAATTTCCTTCAAATTTTCATTAAATTTGTCGCAAAGTTTATGGCATAGAATATTTGTGGAAGAGAGCATCTCTTACATTAACAGCTGCTACTATTTAGGATTAAAACACCTATCGCACACTAGATATCCGTAGTCACGTGAGACGAGTCGGTCATGTGGCGGCAGTCTGGCGATTTGGAACACGGCCTCGTATAGTCACTGCCTGTACACCCCAGCGTTGTTGAGGAGCCACTCACCTGCAGCCCGTTTACACGGCTCCTGCCTCGGTTCCTGTCTCTTAAGCGGCATCTTCATCGGCAAGGCGTCGCGTACATCCGTGATATCGATTGGTTTTACGATAACGTCTACTTGCTCGTTGTTGATCGCCGTCGTCGTCGTCATGGTCGTCGTCGTCGTCGGCGTCGCTATCATCATTGCCGTCGTCGTTGCGTTCGTTGTCGTCATCGTCGTGGTCACCGCCGTGACGACGACGGCGAGTCGTGAATCGTGAGCGTCTCCAGGTTGTTCCACGACCGGCAACCCTCGCCCCGAGTCCGCCATCGAGGTGCGCTGCTGCTCCTGGAGTAAGCAGGCGCTCGACAACAAATCCCATTGGCGGAGCTTCTCTCGGTCGAGCTCGAACGACGTCGCGGACATACGAGCGTCCGGGATCGAGCGAGCCGGGGGAAGGTTGCCGTCCTCTAAAAAATGATTCCTGTCCGAAACGGTAGGCTTGTGATACGTATTGCTTTGTGGATCCCACACGTAACCGCCCGTACCGATCATTTCCATCGACAAAGTCTCGTAAGTGACGTCGTCATCATCCTCGATCGATTGTTCTCGCGTGTGATGATCCTTGTTCGTTCTGCGTTTGACTCGAAGTCGCTCACCACACGAAGATTCTTCTGCGCAATTGTCCCTGTGTAAAACAACACTGTCGTTTACGTAGGTCGCTCCTCGAGTGATCTTGCCACGTGACTTCGCATCACCAGATCTTCCAGGTCTCGGCGGATTGTCTAGATTATCCAACGATCTGGCGTTTCGCAGGCTCACTCTTCTCAGGTTCTCGCACCAAAGGCTATCTTGCTCCCAGGGATCCTCGGAATTGAAACTGCTATCAGTCAGCGTGGCATTATGATTGTCAGATGATGGTAAATTTTGCGACATTGTCTCGACGTGACTGGTCGGAGATGTTGAAGTGACTGCTGTCGCCGTCGTTGCTACTGCTGCTGCACGGTTAGCTCGGTTTCGCTGCTCCACTAAATTTTGCAGGCCGACGTCGTCGAGTAATCCCTCCAGAGATCTTGACCGACGATGAGACGCTTGTGTGACGTGCGTCGGTTCCGTGTTATCGACGTTCCCTGGATTAACGGACTTATCTCTAAGACCGTGGGGATATAAGTTTCTAGCCTCGGGCAGAGATACATCTGGCAGTGGATCAGTGGACTTTACCCGGCGTAGCGTGTCAGCTTCGTAGAAATTCCTCTTATCTACGAGAGCGGCCTTATTGTCGCCTAGCAGTTGACAGGTCGTCCGCCTCAATTCCGCGGCGATACGTCTAGCCTCGTCTATGTCATCTACTTGAATCTGCCGCGGCATTTGCCGCGCGATCGGATTCACTATACGACCGATATCATTCCGCTTGTTCAAGCCGATTGCTGCGTCATCCCTCTGATTGTTTAGTTGAGGCAATCGCGAGGTATAGCCGATCATCGGTTTGGTCAGCTCCATGTCCACGCTGTTGACACTTGCCTGGAGGTCTGAATAGTAATAGGGTGCTCCCGATTGATCGTTTTGGGCACGCTGCTGTTCGCCGACGTTTGGTAAATACGATTGCTGCAGAACAGAGTTGATGGTTTGCATCGACATCGGATTCGGATAATGACTTGAATCCTGGCTGGAAGTCGATCGATGATTCGGCAGCACATGTCGCACACATGCGTCGTGACTGGCGGACCTTGAGTGATTCGGGAACCTTTGCTCGGAATACGCGTTGACGTTCTGCAGCATACTCGTCAGCGTGCTGCCGTGATTCACCGAGGACATGGACGCGCTGATAGGGGAGTGCATCAAGGATTGCGCGCTCGCGGGTCTCTGGCAAGCCATGGATGTCGAGATGGACGCCGCGGCCGATGCATTTGAGTAACTGGAATCCCTGCTGTGTGAGATTGGCAGCACGCTAATGCTCTGAGACGTGCTCTGCATCCTGTGAACGCTATCGCGCGGTGGCTCGCTGTCGGATCGAATCGCCGGCGAATCGCGAAGCGGTGAGAAACTCGCGACGTTCTCGTAATGTGCGTCACCAGTGAAGGACTGTGAGTGTTGGTGGGTCGGCGGTAAATCGGATACTCTCATAGACGGCAAGCTGCTTGCCGAGCCAGTCTTGTTTTTACCGGAATAATCGAAAGGCCGATCGAGATTGCTGGACATTAATTTCATCTTCCTCGACAGATCCTGGCACGTGGTTTTCTGCAGTTTATCGACCACCAGCATATTCTCGTTGAATCCATAGATGCTGTTGTAACTCGGATCCTTCGCGTAAAGATCTACGTTGAACGCATCTCTAGCCTGCAATTCCTCCAAGTATTGATCGAGGTCAATGCTCGCGCCGTCGAAGCGACTTCCCAACGATTCTAATTCATCCAGACTATCTAGAACTTCGCAAACGTCATCGCTGACCGGTCTTCTCTTCAATTGCCTATGCCGTGCTTCCTCTTCCGGATTTCTAAGCTCGATCGAATCGCTTCCCGACGCGCTCTCTAACGATATCCTGCTGTCTCTAAAAGTGGAGCTGATGGTCGCATCGGAGAACCTTGACGGTGGCCTGTGCGTCTCCATCTGTCCTATTGATTTGTTCCAAGATTTTGGAGAGTCGCGGTTCGATGTATTATCCTTCATCGTAGCCACTTGTGGCGAGACCTTCTTTATTTCTAACGATTCCTGCATATCCAATGATTCTAAATCATCTAACGGTGGTGGAGAGGTCGGTATCGGTGGCGGGGATACCAGCTCACTGTCCGACGAGTCGTGTAATTCTGCCATCATGTTGCGGCTAGCACCGAGATAATATGAAGCCGGTCGGAAAGTGTCAGACAAACTGAATCGCGGATGCCGTGGTGCGTCTATGGATTCTAGGTCCTTGGACGATTCGTCATCGGCGTCAGAACTGTCGGATTTGAGTGCTGTCAAGATGTCAGGCAGATCGCTTCTAGAATGCGGCGAATTCTCACTAACATTGCTCTTTTTCATCGAAGATGCTTTACTGTCATCTTCGTCCTCTTTCTCGGACAATTGATTCACTTCCATATATACCGGTTCCATTTTATTATCTCGCACGCAGACAAATTCGTAGTGAGATGACGGGTCCAACGTGGAATAATCGCCTGAATCATGCTTTCTGCCATCTTCGTTCGGTGCCAAAAGAGAGCGAGTCATTCCGTTCTGTGCCATCTCCACGTATGAGCTTTCCTCGTCGGCAAATAGACTCTCCATCATCTTAGGATGTGGTCTGTCATCACTGTTAGGATCCAATATAGCCTTTCTAGGAGACATGGGAAGATAGTGATCCTCGCTATTAATATCGTCCTGCTTCGAAATGATATCGTTATCAGTAGAGAATTGGTCGCTGTGCGTTAATAAAGATTCGGTCATACTTGTTCTTGCACAGTTAAAACTCGGAATAACATTTAAATCAGTCGATGGCACGCATTGTTCTGTCAAACTGTCTTTTGAACTGTGCATTTTATTTTGCTTCAAAGATTCATCGGAATTTTGCATCTGTACGGCATCTGTATACAGAGTGTCCAAAGTGAAACGTTGCGTAATATCTTCGTTCTTCTCAACAAATTTTTCTTTTTCATCATCTCTACTATTTCGCTGATCCAAATTACTTCCGATATCAAATTGTAACGTTTCATTATCACCGTAATCTCCGCGATGCTTAGATTCTTGTCGCTTCTCGGATTTCTGCCGATTAGCAGCCTGCTGTGATTTTCGTTCAAAGTCCGCCAGAAGATCTTTGACTGACTTGTTACTGTCAGTTGAAGCTTGCTTAGCGTGTCCCTCTTCTACGCTTTTGTGCTTGGAAGCATTCTCCGCGGCATTTGTATCACCTAGAGCGAAACTGCGTATGACAGACGAGGTTTTGTTCGCGCAGTCAAGCTTTGAAACGTGAGCTTCAGTCGCCTGCAGTGGCGATACTTTCAACGGCTCCTGCATAGTCAATACTTCCTTGACTGGACTCGCGCTATCCATATTCATCTCGAAAGACCTAATTCTACACTGGACCAGATTCATAGTCTCGAATTTCTCGTTCTCATCTTCAATTTTCGATGGCACCGGTACTTTCTTAGGGTTAATATACTGATAAGAAAATTCCTTTATAACTTTGCTCTCGTCGATGCCGGGGTCCCATTCATCATTATCGTCCTTGGAATCCCACTGTACGTTCTTTTGAACGTGCCAGGACTCGTTAGTTCGATAACCACACAAATTGTCGGATCTATTACTCTCGATCATGTCTGTTTGTTGTCCGTCATATTTTTGCTGATCGAAACCGTAAGCGGTCGACGTCTTCAGAATTCCCAGCGGTTTCTTTGGAGTCTTGTGTCTCGTAGAGTCCTCGAAGGCGGTCTCGGGATCTGATCTTCTAGATAACGATTGCCTGTCCGCTGAGGACGATGCGTATGCATAATCGTTTCTCATCATCGGTGGAAAGCTGACCTCGTCGTAACCAGCGTCAGGTGGTATACCACCCAGAGAGGAGAGTGTGCTCCCCGGGTTCGCTTTACGAGTGTTAAGGATTTGCGACTGCGGGGTCTGATTAACGCCCGTGCGGCCGCTCCCGGGTATCGTGACGTCCTGGACGACGGACGTTGTCGTCGTCGATGACCGATCGTCGCCGGCGTGCCGGGGGCTCCTTCCTGCATGCGAGGGTCTGCGCGAGCGCTTCCTCCGGACATCTCCCAGCTCTGATTTGTTCGTTACAAAACACAAAGACACGAGTATGTCCGTTACTTACAAGTGCCGTGTATGTGTGTATGAGAAAGAGAAACAGTCCCATTTATACATTCCCGTTTCTATACAATACCCATTAGATAATTCTAAGCAAACTCGTCAAGCGCGACAACGACATCAATGATCATTGCACCGTGTAAGCAGCAAAGGCGTTTATTTATTTTAATTATTAATAAATAAAGTTAAATTTATACATTTATTATATGTGATTATTTAAAAGAATTTTATACATCTCGAAAGTTTACAATCAGCTAGCTTGAGATGGATAAAATTCAGAGAATAAGTATATTAAAAATAAAAGTTTCTTGTTGCATGACTCGATCGTAATTAATCGTAATTGATGCAATGATCTCGATAATCGATTGATTTTGCGGTTAATCGTAGATAGCGGATACGCGAACTGGAAGATAGCGATCGTAATTGTAACTACGGCAAGTAGTGTTAGTGAAATTCTTTGGCATGCCATGCTGACCCATATTTTCTACGGTAATTTGATTACGATCGATGTTAAGTCGAGTAGGATATCGATATTCGGTCACTTAGACAGGTAAGTTTTAAGATTGTTAATCGTTCCCATTCACCAGCCAGCTTAGACCCAACAGCAGCAGATAGAAGGAGCCCCGCGGAGAAACGCTCGCAGATATTCAGATTTTTAATTTCCTCTTGCATTTCATAGTTATACCTCACATCTCGTTGAATTGATATGATATAGTTTCGTTAATCGTTTCCTCGACGATTATGTTAGTAAATAAAAATGAAGGAAAAGCAGCTTCGATTGTACAATGTTCGCAATTCGCGAAGAATAATTCGGATGCTTTGCATTAATTGCATTTATTCGCACAATTGGGAAAATATTTTCGTTAGCTACATTTTTTTTTACATGTCATTGATTGAAAACATGCTGGCAATTTTTATTTACAATGAAAAAAAAAGGACGAACATAGAATCGCTTGACATATTTCAATTACAACATAACGAATACCATTCACAAAATACGGAATTCTCGACGTGCGTTTTCGTGAAAAAAAAAAAAAAAATGCCTTTGTTTCCGCGAGCAAATATGCATATTGAATTCTTCACCGTGTTAGCAATTAAGTACCATCATGTTAGCATTTGGATTATTTTTAGCTTTAGGTCAACTATCTACTTCTAACTGAATACACCGCGTTTTCGAGGGACTCGAGGCGATCAAAATATTTGACATGAAAGTTTTTTTTTTGTTTCTCAAAGACAGTGGAGGAAATCTGTCCACAGAAGACACTCATGATAATTTTTCCAACGATTCGAACATGTCTTGTTTCGAGCACATATCCAACATTCGCCCCCTCCCCTAAAAGAGATAATTGTCCGCGTGAATTTTAATATTATATTTTGACCGAGTCCCTCGTTAACGCATCAGGGCGACCGAAGCTACCATTTAAATGATAAGTTCAGGCGAGCTATCCCTACCTTCGTCATCGCTGGAATAGCTGTTGTAGCGTGGCACGTTGACGGCGGTCCGACGACCGTCCGAGCTCTTGCTCCTGACATGCGAACGGTGCCCGTCCTCCCGTCTCCGGGAGTGACGTCCCTCCGCTACGGCGGCCTCGTGCGCTGCCAAATCCAGCAGAGCCTGTTGCTTGTAGTAACTCGAAAGATCATTTTGCGCCCTGCCCCTATTGGCCGAACCGGATGGCTTTCGTGTCAACGGAGATTGCAGCATTCGCTGCTTCCATTCTAGCAGCCGCTTCATCGATTCTTCGCGCTGAAAAAACGTATTGTAACGAACCTTCCCATTAGCTAACTGACAGAAAGATACATGATATTTTTTTAAGGTATGTGCGGAAAAAAACGGTTTCGCTGAAGTATTTGTAAAAATTTAGCTAGATACAAATTTGAAAATAGTATTGTTTTCGAAAGAATTATTAGAACACCGATTGCTAGAAAATGTTAAACTGTTTGTAGCATTGTTCTCAATATTTGAGCGTTCTACACAATTATTTTTATAATCTGAATAATGTTATTTTTAGATCTGGCTAAATTTTTTAATACTTTAGCAAAACCGTTATTTTCGTATACTTATCGATCTCTCGGGAAAAAAGGGGGATGGACCTCATGGACATCGACGTCGATACCAACAATAAAACGTAAAATTTTCGATAATAGGATAAATGAAAAATGAAAAAAAAAAGTTATTAAAAATGATTAGTATAATATGACATGAGTAACATAGCAATGACGACGATTGAGTGAAACGACGGTGAAAGCAAAGACACGGGAGAGTCAGGATGACGTAAGGTATGTGCAGCTATGCAACGGGGCTATCGTGAATCACGCTTGTCCACCGATGTTACCGACACGGTTGTCTTGTACGAGCTGATACGAGCAATGCTGATGGCCTACCTGCCGACATTTATCTGATTCTGAGAAGCCCATCGCTCCATGACTCATTTCAGCTTTTCCGGGATACGAACGAAAAACAAGTTCGAAAAAATTCACTTGGAAATATTTGACGATACATTTCTACATCGCAGAGAACTCCAACACTAATATTGATACGCTTTACAAATAACATTTTGCATAGTCATTTAATTTGAAAGATGAGTGTGTGTGTTTTATATTTACTTATATTATAAAATATTTCAATTAACATAATATATCTGTATTAATCAATTTTGGAAACTTGTAAACTGTTTTAGATGGTAAAACGAGAATACTCTCGATTATAAATATACCGATTTCTCGAAGAGATCCTACAAAGATGCAGCCTTTATATTATAACCATTATATTACAAGGGTTGATATTTATCTAAAATATAGCGACAACGTTAAACGATGAAATGTTATATGAAATGTTAAAAAAAAAGAATCGCGTGTGTTTATACGAAAGTAGAACGTACTGGGTCTCCTACCTGCTGAATCTTGCGTTCACCATCTCGCGAGTCCTGTTCGGAGGATCTCTCGGCGTAGTCGTCGTCGTCGGGATCAAGGGCGGTAGGATGGCGTGTCCTTGGCAGTCGCGCCGATGCCGATCTGCAGAACTGCTGCTGTTCGCTCCATCGTCTGCTGGCACCTGCGTGACCGGCGTGACACGTCTGAGCGATGTGGGTCCCGTGGGCAGCGTGACCCGCTACTCTTCCCCACCCGTCGTACTCGCCGCGCGGTATTCTACGAGGGATCGTGTTGTCTTCGCCGTGTGTCAGCGTTTCTCGGCCATTCGCCTCGCAGCTTTTCTCGCGCAAAGATCTTCGAAGTTTCGGATCGGCGCCCATTATCCTGACAGAAAGAATCTTAAGCATGCGTTCCTTTTCTTACATTCAATTTATCGTACCGCGTAATTATCTTTATAATATGATAGAAAGACGCGTTATTACTGTATTGTTTTACTTTAATTGTATTTTTATGGAAATATTCCTTTGTTCTATAAAATTTGAAAAGTTCATTTTAATTTTTTACAGAACAGAAAAGTCATTGTAGTGCCAATTGAAACACTGTCATATTTCGAAACAAAGAATGCAATGAAATAATGAATTATGACAAATCGTACTCAAAAAAGCTGTAAGATTTTAAAAATAGGCTCCCGCCTCTTAAAGGTTAAAACATTTAACGTTTTTTTTATTTTAACATTCTGGTACTCTACATTACAGCAATTTACAGCTTTTAAACGTTATTTTAAAATATCGAGCACAAATAGGAGAAAATTGAGTTGATAGTCGTTTCAAAATTGGTATACATTGTAAAATTGAAATACGTTTTAAAATTTGATTGGTGTAGGTTGAACGTTTAGATATCCATTTTAAATTTATATATTCAAACATTTATCTTTAAAATATATTTACCTAAAAAATACACACAGACTCACGTGTGCACGCACACTTTAAAATATGCATGATTTTTTTAAGTATTTAATTGGAATTTCTCCTACCTAATTTCCAACTTATATCATCCATATAGAAATCTGACACTGGAAATTAAACATCTCTCGCACTTAACGAAATCATCATATCTTTTATTATTATCTTTTTTTTTACAATACACGGACTAATTTTCAACAATTCTTCCATGTCCATTTCTTCAATTTGCGGCAAAATATAGGTAAATACATTCAAACAGTTCTTTAATATTTTGTACTTAATTTCTTACTAACATCTTTAATAAACTCTCACAGTCAGGAAACTATATTCTTAAAAGAAACGGACATTATACAAAATAACGAAAATAACCAATGCAAGACTTATGCAACTTAAAAATAACTAGAACTCACAAAATTATAATTAAGGAAAAAATTTGACATGCGTTAAGCGTTACTGATAATTGTAAAGATGATTATTTTGCGTACTTGAATTCTTAATCTTCTGTCTTTCTATTTACTTTGTTTTAATATTACTAATATTGTATATACTGAAGATGACCATATTTAGGGTCGAAACGTTTATATAACTTTATATTTTTAATAAAAGAATATATGTAATTTTTACAAACGCCATCCAGTGCGTGGCAAATGCTCGACCTTTTACTTTGTTTTTGTATTTAATTGGAATTTTAGGGGGAAATCTCCATGAGGTTTAATCATTTATTCGGGCGATGTACTGTGACTCACTCGGAATGTCTCTGCGTCAGCGGCTGAGCGGGTATCGTGTGCTGCTGATGTACGTGATCCCGCTGTGTACGTCTCATAGCGGGGCAAGTAGAATCCGGCAATGTGGATATTCTATTTTCATCGGTTTTATCACGGATACCCGGCAGCTTCGGTTGCACTGTGACGCGCGAGAGGGACTGATTCCTCTGCTGCTGATAGTGTTGAGGGGTCTGATGCAAATACACCGCGGACTGCCGCATCTGCGCCGCGTATCTGAGCATAAACGTGAGCAGAGAGTGAATATTTTTCGCAGAGATCGATTTTCATTTTCTTTTTCCTCGATATTTGCGTAACTTAAACCCTGAGGAATTTACGCGCTCGTATACCTTTCTTCGGAATAGAAGTAACCGTCATTGGTCGTGTCTGACGGGTTCATTATATCTAAGCTGGATTTAGGCCTCTGCGGACGTCTTTGTTGATCCGGGGGTCTTTCGCATTGCATGGGTTGCTGCTGGGGACGTCTTGCTGCTTCATACTCGAGGAAGTCTGCGCTATGCGGTCGCGGCGGTGGTTGAGTCCTAGATTGCCTTACCATTGCCACTAAACAAAATAAATCACTCTTTTTGCATTACTATGTTTTATTCTTCAGACTATAACATTATTCGACGTTCTTTGTAATATATGTTATACAACTCATGCAGTAGAAAACAAGTTGAATTTTACTATAAAAGAAGATCTAGATCATCGTAGCAATTATTATAACGACGCGATAATACGTAAGATAAAACCAGTAAAATTAACTTGTAATAAGATAATAAAGTTCTATGATTTTGTCGAATATTCGATTGCATTAATTTAAAAAATACCGTTTATACCCAATTTAACTTGTGTTTTCAACAGACTTTAGAGGAAAGAACAATTTTTTAGAATAATTATTCTCTTTTTGTGCTTTAAAGTAATATTGCAATAAAGTAATATTTATTTTCATCTCGATTAACGCTTTAAATTTGATTTGACATGGATTTTTTTTAATTTCTTGACACAGAGGTGAGTTTTTTTTTAACAGAGAGGCGCTTGAGTGATTTGTCTAATGTAACAAATTTTCTCGATCTTAACAGATTAACGAGTAAATTTTTCAATCGGTCAGCCAATCGTTTGACATTTGACTCTGGTTTCTCTTATCAACGACTCATCACACATCTGTTTTACAACTTTTATTTTATTTTATAACTTTAATGTGTAATTTGTAATATATTGAGATGATAATCGCTTTAACCATGCTTAATAATTAAATGTAAATGTTGCGTTTTTTCTGAAGAGGGTCTCAATATAAGACTGAAACATGTAAAATTTTGTTCATGAACAATTCGACTAAATTTTTCGTTTATTTCTTTATATTATTGTAACGTGTTTAAATTTTACATGAATATATTAATGTTAAGATGATATTCTTTGTTTCTTAATGTTGACTCTTATTTGCCTTTATATCCTTGTTTTTATTTGTAATATTGCAAGACACGTTGAAAATCGCCAATGGTAATACGGCAAAGTCAGAAAAAGAATTATTTCTATTTTTTCAGAGACTTGTGTACCTTCTTCATGCGCATTAATGCATATCGCCTCCATTATAGAATTTTTCAAACGCACATCCTTAACAATCACCCGATAAGAAAGCCCGCTTTGTGACTTATAATTAGAAGGACATTGTTACAAATACATCCGTGTAAAATATTTTCATCTTTATTCTCGAGAAAGGGTATCGGCCGGAATGAAATGCCGGTCGTACTAATTACAAGCGCCTTTGTAGGGATTGTTTAAGAACAGAAGGTAAAGCGAAAGAATGCACAAAGACTCACTGTTCGGCGGCGTGATGACGGGGGAATGCAGTTGCTGCAGATGCTGTTGTTGCGCGTACACGGGGATGGGAATGGGTGCCGGCGATGCGCCCTTAGTGTAACCCACCGGTCCCGCGGGTCTCTGATAAAGCTGTGGAGTGCCATAGACCTCCTCGTAATCGCCGTTGCCTCGGCTGCTGCTTCTCGGTTTCGCACTGCGACCGTACGTGTCAGGAGTTCTTCTCTCCGTCGATTGGGTGGTCTGACCGTAGCCATAATGTAGGCCTGATTTGTCGATTCGCAGACTCTGTTGTGACGGCTGACTCATCCGCGTGCCGTAGATCGTGTTGTTCCTTTCGTAATCAGACATCGAACTTTTGCTCGTAACCGTGACATCCGGTGAGACCGGGCTCTTTCGATAATCCGTATCCGGCGACGGCGTCGAATACTCGTTGGAGCCATCCGTCAGTCTTCTAGGCTTCGGCGGTGCGTTCGCGTAAATCGGCTGTCCAAATTTCGTTCGAGGCATAGGCTGTATCGTTTGAACGCCGCTCGAACCAGAGTGTGACATCTGCTGAGGTTGCTGTTGTTGCTGCTGTGGCGATTGTTGGATCACATGCTTATGCGGATGCGATGACTGATGGGTCGGAAGTACGTTCTGATGCGGCAAGTGATGATGAAGCAACGCCTGATGTTGATGCGAGTGGCCCGGCTGTAATTGCTGCGACGGCAGCAAATGCCCGTATTGCTGCTGCTGCGGCTGAGAGGTACCGGGCTGACCGTATTGCGGTGATTGTTGCACCCAACCGTTCATCATTGGATGACCCGAATCGCTCGCGTGATTGTTGTTAGCAGAATTGCCGTTGCTGTTGCTACCGCTGAGGTTCGGGAAAGAGGCAGTGTTCGCGCTGTTCGGACTGGAGTTGTTATTGGAGGCATGGCTGGGATCGTCGCGCGACTGGAAGCCGTGAAAGCCAGAGTCGCTGTCGTCAGCACTCTGATTCAGGATCGAAGAGATCGACGAAACACTAGGTCGAGCACTTCGTTCACCATCCTGCGCTATTTCGATGACTACCGCGGCCTCGCCCATGCCACTATAATAAATGCAAAATTGAAAAATTCAATATTATTGTCAGCCCATATCATCTAGATTTTTCCGTTGAGCTTACAAAAAAACCAAAGATAATTAATTTATCGATAATTGGAGGAAGTTAAGTCACAAGATTATGTATAATAAAGATCCTGTCGATCCAACTTGAAAATTAGTATCAGTTTAATATCATTAATAGGATTATACTGAAGCTGCCAATTTTATGAAGGATATCCTATATCCTCTATATTATATAGGAGTTTTGAAAAAGTTTTTCATATTATTAAGTATGTATAAATGAATATTATTATATACTAAAGGTACTGAAATTAAAAGTCTATAACGTTTCGATTACTTTTCGATCACGCAAATAGAGTTTTAACTAAAAGACGAACACAAAGCTTATGAGAAACAAGCGTTTGTTGTCCGCTGCTGCGTCTGCTGTGTCGTACTGCTGACGACGTGCTAATGGACAACGGGGCCAGCCCGAGCTCATCCTGCACTGGCGGTATCTCGCGGGTCGAATAACTCTCGAGAAACTAACTAACGAGTTAGTTACACCGTGATAACGCGCGAATGACAGATGCACTGCAACGTCCGCATCACGATACTTTCGCGTGCAAATAAACGCGAGTGGCCATACCGTCCCAGTTTCCTTCGTGGCGCATCAAAGAGATGTTCGTCGTCACAGCTCCGTTGCACTGTCGAGCTAATTTCGGGATCTTTGTTCGTATCTCTGGACGGAGTTTAATGTCGAGATGTCGTCTTAAGAGATGACATCTTTCGAGGCGATGTTGAGCGTAGTTCAGACAACGGAGAAGTTTTCATATACAGTGCGAGAGCTTTTATTTTCGCGGAAGATTTTCAGTATACGGAAGGAAGAGAGGGATCTGCGATGGGCACAACAAAATTTTTATAATATTTAAAAGCTTCATGAATTTTACAAAAACGCTGTATGTATATGTAGAAAATAGGGTCGAATATAAATGTGAGGCAAAATTTCTATGCGAACAAAATACAGATGCGCGTGATGCGTGAAACAGACCCCTGTATGAATACGGAACGAAATACGGAAGAAAATAACACAAGCGCCGGACGAGAGTAAACTGGGAGGATTATTATCACAAAGAAATACGCCATATGAGAAATTAAAACGTGAAACATGATAGATGAGGAATATAAGAGCAGTGATTATTACAATAATAGATTTAATCGACCGCTCGGTTTGTCTTTTATCGATCACATTACTACATTTCGTTTTTCATATTCGTTTATTTATTCCAACCAACTGCAGAATGATAAGAGTGATAAAAGATGCAACTGTTCCGCGCTTTATTTAAACCAATATGTAATTAAACGCATCAAAAGCGTTATACCTGACTCAAGTTTGCTATCCACATTAGCATTTCTTAATTAAGATTGAATAATTAAGTTCATTCAATTTCTTATAATTAATAAAAAGGGTCGTTAAGTTTTAATATAAATCGCACTTGTTCTCGGCTTTCTACGCGCATAATTACGGTACGTTTCCCATGAGCCTTTTAAACAGTTTAAAAATGCATGCAGGGAACTTACGGGTTAGGATCTTGCAAAAGCGTTGCCAGAGTCAGAGCATTCACCCACTGGTTCATACTCTCCCGGCTGTCAGCCGCGAAGTGATAAGTCCTCATGTTCGCGTGTTCGGCCTTGAAGGCAAACTTCTTGTTGACTTTGTCTTCGGGTTTGCAGACGGTAACTCTGTACGAAGGTAGTAATATTGAACCAAGCAGTTTCTCCTCCTCTGGACCTGAAAATTAGTAAATTGCTATGCTGCAATAAAAGCTACGACGACGAAACTTGCCTTATTTTTATTAAAAAAATCAGGCAATAATATTTAATTTTACATCCAAATTTCGCGCACGGTAAATTATTGAACACATGATATGCTAATGTACCTGTTTTTATTTTTTATTGCAAAAAAATGATAAATGACTATGATATATTTTCGTACATTTCGTAATAAAAATCGGATGTATACCACATTCAGAGTCGGTGAAACGCAAGAATATTTGTGTTATCTTGTTTTCAATCCTGACTATTCAAATATACCATTTGATGATATGACTGCAATATTTGTCCTTTCTCTCTGTATCTATCTAGCTTTAATTCAAAATTTCCCTCTGCAGTCTATTCCTATGATTAATGTACGATGTGCATAAAGGCATGTACTTCCATATGGTTTTAAACATTTTCGAAAATCAACATTTGCATATTTGCTGTGGTTCGCGATTGTGTATGACGATATTAATCTCAAGAGACATGAAATTCTATGAATTTTTATCGAACAAAATGCAAGTTTTTAAATGTATACTCGCGCGTATACGTGTAACCACGAAATCTCGGCAGGCGAATCGAATTTTCGCACATTGGCTTCCGAAAAAGCTGGAATTTCAGTTCAAATTAATTTCAAGCTGAGTGATCCACTAACGATAAACGCTAGAATGTGAACGATAAACGAATGTTTTTATCAATTACAAACTGAAATCTCACTTTAATCAATTAATCCACATAAACAGATCCTTTTTTCGCATTTTAACAGCTAGAAACATTGGTTTGTTTATATATAAATTCTATTATATTTAAAGCAATCAAACGTGTATAAGATCAAAAATTTTCACATTTAATGGTAAAATTTCTTAAGTACATAGATTAAATTTCAATTAAAAATATTTACATGTATAATAATCGAGACTTTTGTATTAAAAAAATATATGTACATTTTTATATTTTTGAAAGTGTTACACTTTCTTTCGGAACTGTTTTACACTTATTTATAAGAGTTTTCTCATGTAGAGCAATATATACATATATATGTATAAGTTTATCTTTTACGAATGTAAAAATAGAACGAAAAATGTTTTTATGATTGTTATTTGTACTTATTGTGTTAGTTTCGAACAACATTCCAGAATTCGTTGTTCTGGTCTAATAATAACATCTAAGATATAAAGCTTCAAGTGAGGCGACGCGGAAAGAATGTTTCTTGACGGGGTATCCATGATTGCGTATAGTACAGTTATCTGAAGCAAAACAATCAAGACACTTTTTGCTCCTCACGAGTGTATCGTTTATTTTCCGCGCTGAAATACTCATTAAAAATACAAAAATAATAAAATGATGATTTGAAAAGAACTTACATTCTACATTTAAACATCATGAATTTTATAAAATATTTTAAACGTATTTTTAAGATTTAAGTATTTAAAGAAAATGTAAAGAGAATTTAAGAAAGTTTTGCGAAAACATTAATAACTACATAATAATAAACTCTTTTCTTTAACATTAAAATGTAGGAGACCAATTATTTCGATTATTCGATACTTTAGATAACCTTATTTGTGAGAGAAATAATAAGAGAGAAGAGTTTGCTGTTGAGTAGATATACTTATTAGTGCCTTTTGCGGACTCGATAAGAATCCTCGAAGAAGTTTCTCGCAGGTTGCTAATTAGAGAGCGGTATGCATCAAATCTAATTTAACTAAAGTTCGTAAACGACACATCGAGAACCTCCACGAACTTCTAGCAGAAATTTTCTTCTCCCTCGGATGATATGAAAGACACCCTAAGATGGGAGGATGTATCTTTAGCTAGATACATCTCTGTTGCAGCGATCGTGATACACATACCGAATCAAAGAGCCTAAGTGTAATTAGCGTCTCTGATCGAGTCGAATTAGACGAGCAGCGTTATCCAAAACAACAGGAAATTGACCGTCAGTAGTGTGATCTGGACTAGCAAGTCGTAAAACGGGGTAGAATTTGGCGAGATGCCACAATATTTTCGCGAAACTGGCGAATGCACAAAAATAAAAGCTTGTAAATAGGACAGATGAAGATAAAGATGTGACTACATGGGTTTTTAAAAATATTAGATTAGAATTTAACTTGGCGCCGACTATTGATATCAGATCTTTTATACAAATGATACATGTCATCAGAACCATTTGGATTGAAATAGGAAGATCTTTCAATAAGAACTATATGGATTTTACTATTTAATTTAGTATAATTTAATAGAATTTAACTTGGCGCCGACTATTGATATCACATCTTTTATAGAAATGATCTAGTTTACATCTCGTGGTCTACTAAACAGCAAATATAATTAGTCGGTTCTACAGTCGATTAAGTAATTGGCGTTGGTGAAACTGGCCCAAACGTTTTTTTATTGAAAGCTCGCACTCTTAGCGCCTTTTCTACCTTTTTTTGAAAAGGTAAATTTTTTAGTTTTTGTACGTGGATAGTACAAATGATAGGACAGACGCGGATCGATTCGGGCAAAAACTGTGAAAATATCAACGTCTACGAAATTTTATTTTTATTTTGGGAATGACTTTGTAATTGCTCGAGAGACGATTAAAAATTATATTTATATTATGAAAAATCATTATTTGTATTTAAAAATGGAAACCGTTACTATTTTGTCATACAATTGCAAAGACTGAGATTTTGTCAATTAGATTGATATGAGAAATCGAATGCTATTAAAGAATTTTTAATTTCATGCGAAATGGCCATTAAGACCTCATTTATTCGATTCGTGAATCGCAGAACGGTCAACGAGAGAGCTTATTTATACTAATAACTAACTTTATAATTTCCATTAGATTGGTGATTAATAGACGCTTCTGGAACAATTATTAATAATTATTCCAGTCCATAATGTCAATTGATAATTACGCAGTGAATAAACGTTACATCTGTCGGATTCGAATGTTAAACTGAACGAGCTACATTATTCTGACTATAATAAACCTCATTAAAAATCGATACCGTATTGCGATAACATTACGTGCTGTGCAAAAATAGTAGGAAAAAAAAAATAATAATAAAATATGCAAAAGGAAAAAATATTGATCGTACAACGTGCAGACTCACCCTTGTAATAAAAGAGGCAGTACTCGGAGAGAACGAACCAACGCTTTTTCCATAGCATAAGACCCTCCGAACCTTGTTTGTGCAACCACCCTTGCAGTGCAACCGGAGCGGAGAGGGGCCTTTTCGCGGCGGGCGAACGTAAACCGCCTTGAGGACCGCTCCGCCTACGCACCCCCGATACGGAAGCCGCCACCCCCGAGCCATCGTGTTTGCTGCGTACCTGAACCGGTACGGCGGGCGGTGTGTTCGACTGGACAATCTGTAAAACAAAATGCACCCTTTTCTTATCGAGACCCTCATTTACAAATCTTACGAACAACGTTGCGTCAACGTCGCTTGAATTTAATTTAAAATTTATTATAATTAAAACCCTTCTGTATCCTGAGATGGAAAAAGATGAAAAAAAATCAGTAATAGTAATTAAGTAATAGTTAAGATTAATCGCTCATTATTCCTTTTAGTTCAAAAGACTGACTTTTATGGAACTTCCACTTTAAATTTAATTACCGCGACATTTAATGCACAAAATTTGAACGTGTAATCTAATCGAATTTTCATTAAGATGAAATTAATCGCAGGATTTGACCTCGCTATGCTCATCATTAAAATATATATAATACCTATACGATTTAAAATGAGTAGATTTTGACAATTTACTTGATACTATAAATGCTTCAAAGCATTCGATTGACTAAAAAAACGTAGAAAAAAATTTGACTAGCTGACCGATCGAGAATCCTTTAAAGCATTTGTGACATCAAGTGGACCGTATAGTCTTAATTAAAAAATAAATCTATTCAGATAATATGACATAAAATGCGATTGAATATTTTATTACGCAAAATATGATTTTGTTTATCATTATTTACAGTTTATCATTTGCGTATTACGTCATGAAGTTGAAATGAGGTATTGAGTAAATATAAATATTTGGAGGGAAAAGGACACTAAGAGTCAAGCGCAGATAACTTCACGCAAATGCTATATGGAAGTACAAATTAGTTCGTTTTCCAAAAGATGATCGCCTCCAAAGACGAGTCATTTTTTCGAGATGAAATTCGAAAATTGCCTGAGAGATGGGAAAAAGTAGTAGCCAGCGATGGACAATACTTTAATTAATCTGTTCATTCATTTTGTTTTGATATAAATGCATTTTTGAAAACAAAAAACGGACCGAACTAATTTGTACACCTAATAATATATAACAAACAAAACTTTTCCACCATAATAACTGTGTTTACATGTTTCAGTTCATTTTTCAGCCTTCTTCAGCAGAGACAAAGCAATAACATAAATAAAAAAGGATCAAGAGATATCCAATCACAGCGAGCTCCCCCACAACCAAGAAATCAAATCTGATGTTAATTTCTAACAATACATATCACATAAAAGGAAATGAAAGGTATGGAGTAGCTTGAAACATTTTCCAAGTTCGACGAATTTACAACGTAAATGCGATTTCGCGAGATAAAGATAGAAAGCTGGAAGTAATAAATCTTCGGTGAAATTTGGAATCTTTCTCGCGCCACGATCAGCACGCGGCTGAGATCTCGACACCTTTTATTCGGTGCCTTCCCCGAATGTGGCTGATCGAAATCCGTTTTTCCGCTTGCTGCCGACGCGCGCCACGTTATCGCGCACAAAATTGCCGTTGGCCGACAAAAATTTCGCCACGCCACTCGGAACGTATATCCGATAATGAAAAGTCATAGAAACGAAAAAAGGAAGAAAGGATCGCGCCGGTGATAGCAACGATCGCCATTCGTACGTGAAATTCGTCCGACCCGTCGATTTTCCTCCTCTTGTGACGTTTGTTGGGAAGAAAAGAAAAATATGAACTGATATATCCGACGAACGAAACGACCGCTAAATATTATAACTAATTACTCAATAAATGTGTGTTTGGTAACGGAATACATTTTCAATGACGAAAAAAGCACATGTCTCTGCAAAGTCCAGTCGGATTTAATCCTCGAAATAGACCGGCTGTATTATGCAGCCTTGCTATCGATTTCCTTCTATCTTCGCATCAGATTTAAAAATACATGCGCAAAAGAGCACCAGGATATTGGTCTCGGTACAAAAGATCGGAGAGGGTCGTGGGAACACTCGAAACTCCATTCCTGACGTGAAAATGAATAATTTACCGCTCGCTCTATCTCGCCCGACTCTCTCTACCTGCTTCTCCATTTTTCCCTAGAATTTTACGAGACCATCCCGAATGCACGAAAAATAGTTTACATATTTGCGACGCTCGCAAGTTTCGCTCGTACTGCTGCGCGCAACGGCAAGATATTGCTGCATCGAACGATAGAACGTTAGCATTAAAGTCGTTCGGAAAGTAGTTTACAACGCCGGCGAATCAATATGCCATTTCGTAATATTCTTCCGTTGTGTTCTTTCGTGCGTTATTAAAATTTATGGATGAAATCACAAATTTACAAGTTTATAAGCATCTCTCTCTTACTCTCTCTCTCTCTCTCTATCGCAAGATATTATATGCTGGAAAATCTCGGTGTTATGCGCAATGCGTATGCTGCTCTCCCAGAAAATTGCCACAAACTCTTGTCTTAAAAAAAAAAATTCTATACTTTTATATTTACGGATTTCCAGCATGTTATAATAAAATCTCTTTAATAGATGCCTATTGAGCATCAAAATTTAACTGTGATATTACTACAGTTTAGTTGCGTTCTTAAGGGGATCCTTAAGCAAAGCTCGAACTCTAACGACATCGCGAGATGTCGCAATTTTACAACACATCGACATATCTTTTATATACTACCACACTAATATCTCACGCAGGACAGTGATGCACGCAGTCGAATTATCTGTCAATTTTCGTATCGTAAATTCATCGCGATAAAGTGTCTAAATCTAATTTTAAGAACTCCACGCTGTTTCTTCATGCAAACTACATGCCTGTGGACCACTATTTCTTAAGTACAGATTGCGCAGCTTTTATATAAAACAAATGTTGTTACGACGTGCAACGACGTGACAGCTCTGGAGCGCCATATTGGACTAAAAAATGGTAAAGAAGAACTCAATTTTGAAATTTTTTATCGTTTTCAGCATAGATTCTACCTCACAGGCACGTATTAATGCGTATTCTTTAATTCTGTAAAAGGATTTTCGAATCTGTGAATGACAAAAAAAGTATTTACGATACAAAAATTATATACGATTTAGTCGGTAATACAGGATTTAGGATCCTCTTAAGTAAAAAAAAATTAATTCGACGCGCAATTTAAATGACTAAAAGTGCAGTACATGATGTTTATATACATATACATAGCATATACAAATTCACATGAAATTGTTTAAGCATTAAAGATATAGCTTCGACCATTGTGGGCCTTTATTCCCTATTTCCTTAATAAGATTCTTATTGTCAATACTTCTTGTTAATTTCCAAGCAAAATTTCATGATTTTCACTAACTTTCAATATTTTGAATTTTTTATATTTTAATCCTGATGTTTGGAAACCGTATTTTGTTGAGAGAGCAATTTAACATAACAATGTAGATTATTATTGATATTACTGACACTATTTGAGGAGCAGACTCCCAAAATGCATTTTGTCTAAAATTTCATTTTTTGAGTTAAAAATAGCATAGTGTTGAGAGATTCATATTTTAAGCTATTCTATGATGTTCCGAAAACATTTTTACACCATTAATTTATGCGCTGGAAAAAATCTTGACATTTGAAGTGCATTATGTCCCTTAATTAGAAACAAACAAAATGTATTTGTTTAACATTTTCAGCAACTGTCTAGTAATTTTGTTGAACATTTCACACATTTTACTGGCTGGCAAATTGTTATATTTTGTGAAGCGTGTACTTTTCTTATGACTTTTTTTTCATTTTCTAAAAATTTCGGATAAAACGCATTTTGAAATTCTGCTCTTCATTTGTATTTAATCGTTAGGTTAGTAGTATTTCAAAATTAGATGTGATGTACGCATATCAAACTTTTTTGAAATTAAGAATTTTAATCTTCTCTAGAAAATTCCCTGACTTTTCTCTGATTTTCTCGAGTGTTTTTAATGTCTTCTGACATTTCCCTGATTTTTAGTTTTGACGACAACTGTGTCACTTTATATCGACAGCATTGTGCTTTCAGACACGACACTTGCCAAATCTTACTTTTTGGAAGAGCTTCTATCAACAAGAAACTTGCAGATACGTTTTATCTAAGGGTGTAAGAGGGAGAAGGTCCTGGAAAATGCTCCGTTTTCTCGGACGCTCGTAGTTCTCTAGCACTCTCAGAAACGCCGATAACACAAGCTGTATTTTTCAGGAATACAAAGTGCCGCGGACGTCTGTTTGAGAAACTCGCAGGATACGACACACGTATATATAACGCGCTCACGTATAGCGCATACATTGCAGAGTGTTCTTAAATTGCGAATAGCACGAACTACCACCATTGGCCATTTGCTCTCCTAGAGGATGCATCGAATAGCACAATGCATACATTGTCGATGCAAGAGGAAGTCCCTCGTGATTGATCTCTCCTCGAGAACTAACGGGGGGAGGGGGGGGGGGGGG